AATTAATTTTAATAAATCTACAATGATTCTGGTAATTTTCAAACAAGAGTGAAAGATAAAGACACCTGAATAGTGTCAATATTTTGCATCAATTTTAATTTTGAGAAATAATGCATTATTGATGTTTTTTAGACCCTATAAAGTGGAATTTTGTCCTGTTTTGTGGCACTTTGCTCTTTTAGGAATACAGATGAAAAGAATGGGTGGGTCTTAGTACAAAAGAGGGATATGTTGTCTGAGGAATCTACCTTATATTGTTTTTGTTATTATTTCACACAGAGTTGCTGTTGAGTTTCAGATGAACTTTTTTGAAAATCTCCAGTCTTGGAAAGTATATGAAGTATTTACTTTAGTACATTATTATTTTTCCTCTTTTTAGGTTATTTGGTGATGTCAGATGACTGGTTTTCAGAATTTGTTTATGAGGTTGTCATTGACAAAAAATACCTGACTGAGGAAATCCTGGCTATAGCAAAACAATCTCCGGTCATTCTTCCAGCCTGGGACCCGATGGGGGCTCTAGCCAAACTCTGATGTTGGACCAGATTAATGAACAGTGTAATGAAAAATGTTCATTATAATCAATAGTACCAAAGTCAAATAAAATGGCTAAGACTGATATATATACTGTAGAATATATTTATCTTTTATAATTTATTTTTTCCTCACAACTTTATTATTGAAGAAGAAGGGGCAATAAACCTTCAATTTAACCTTTGATATACATGTATCTACTCAATAGTTATTAAGGACAGCTGATAAAAACAAAAAAAAATTCATGGATTGGTATACATTTTAAAGCCCTTTTTGGTTGTTAGTGATGCAAATATAAAATTTCTAAAATATTAAGAGATTGTCAATTGTTTGTGATGTTCAAAATTCTACCTTTCAGCAGTCACCCTTATAAATCTTTACAACTTTTTATCACTTTATAGGACATTATTGTGAAACTTTAAATAAAAAAATTAAAATCTATGCAGTTAAACTTATTCATTTTACTTATATAAACATGACCTAAGTTGTTATTTTCATTTTTTTTTTTTTTTAGAAAGTTTGTATCATCTGTCCTTAAAAATAAAAAGTGAATGAGATAGAAAAGTTGGTAACTTGGGTTTTCTTATATTTATTTTATGAATACTGTATACAGGGTTATTTTCACCCTGTGTTATTTTTGCCCTTTAACACTTGTAACCAATTTTGTCGCATTTAAATTTTGTCCAGTCATATTTCTGTTGAAGAAATTATAGTGTGTTCTTTGAAATCACCCTGTTTTAAATTCGCCCACCTGTGAGTAGGGCGAAAGGGGTGAAAATAAAACGGGGGCAAACATTTCCCAGTATACAGTATTCATTAATGTTCCTCTCTATGTGTAATCAGTACTTGTCAGGTAATTTGATGTTGATGCAAATGTATGAAATTGTCTTTAAATTTGAATTAGGAATAAATATTGTAAATTGAATTTATAATGAATTTGTAGTTGATATAAAAAATTAATGTTTTTGATTGCCATTTACGTATAGAAAAAGATGAAATGTCATATAGTATTCTTTGGGATTAAATAGAACAGTGATTGTATTGATATGAGATTAAAATGTCTACTTTTCTTCCTCAGTATTACTTTTTATTTGGTACCATGTGAGCTTTAGTCTATGTTAATTTAAGAATATACAGGTAGTTAAATACGAGTAACAGTGCAGTAGCTTGGATTCAGTTTATGTGTGAGAGTGGTATTTCAATTTTATAAAGAAGCTACACAGTAAACTTGGAAACTTTAACTATCAATAATTTTTCTTAGCAATTTTTTTTTATAATTTAAGGAAATGTTTGCTGACCATCAATTTTATTTTTATTAATGCTAAAGAATTCTAAGTTACACTTGCAAAAAAACTCGACTCTTAATATTTTATTCAATCACCTCTTTTTCAAAAAACTTGAATAATGGTATGATACATTCCATTAATTTTTGAGATTTGAATATCTTTATCCTTAGACTTTAGTCAATATTTATTATGTGATTGAAATGTTTGGGTGAGTTTACAAGTAGGAGGGATTGTAAAAATTATTGAAAGACAGTGTAGTGTTTGAGCAATTGTGAGGTTACAAAGGAAATGTTAGGTAACAGAGTGATTCTGAGGTAACAAAGGAATTGTGAGGTTACAGAGTGATTGTGAGGTTACATAGGAATTGTGAGGTTACAAGGTGATTGTGAGGTTGCAGAGTGATTGTGAGGATACAGAGTGATTGTGAGGATAAAGTGTGATTGTGAGTATACAGGGTGATTGTGAGGATACAGTGATTGTGAGGTTACAGAGTGATTGTGAGGATACAGAGTGATTGTGAGGTTACAGAGTGATTGTGAGTATATGGAGTGATTGTGAGGTTACAGGGTGAATTGTGAGGTTACAGAGTGAGGATACAGAGTGATTGTGAGGATACAGAGTGATTGTGAGGTTACAGAGTGATTGTGAGGTTACAGAGTGATTGTGAGTATATGGATTGATTGTGAGGTTACAGAGTGAATTGTGAGGTTACAGAGTGAGGATACAGAGTGATTGTGAGGATACAGAGTGATTGTGAGGTTACAGAGTGATTGTGAGGATACAGAGTGATTGTGGGGTTACAGAGTGATTGTGACGATACAGAGTGATTGTGAGCTTACAGAGTAATTGTGAGGATACAGAGTGATTGTGAGGTTATAGAGTGATTGTGAGGATACAGAGTGATTGTGAGGTTACAGAGTTATTGTGAGGATACAGAGTGATTGTGAGGTTATAGAGTGATTGTGAGGATACAGAGTGATTGTGAGTATATGGAGTGATTGTGAGGTTACAGAGTGAATTGTGAGGTTACAGAGTGATTGTGAGGATACAGAGTGATTGTGAGTATATGGAGTGATTGTGAGGTTACATAGTGAATTGTAAGGATACAGAGTTATTGTGAGGAAACAGAGTGATTGTGAGGATATAGAGTGTTTGTGAGGTTATAGAGTGATTTTGAGGTAACAGAGTGATTATGAGGAGACAGAGTGACCCTGAGGATACATAGTGATTGTAAGGATACAGAATTATTGTGAGGTTACAGAGTGATTGTGAGGTTACAGATTGATTATGAGGTCACATAGGAATTGTGAGGTCACAGAGTGATTGTGAGATTACATAGGAATTTGAGGTTACAAAGTGATTGTAAGGTTAAAGAGTGATTGTGAGGTTACAGACTGATTTTGAGATTACATAGGAATTGTTGGATTATAGAGTGATTGTTTAGTTACATAAAAATTGTGAGGTAACAGAGTAATCGTGAGAATACAGAGTGATCTTGAGGGTACAGAGTGATTGTGAGGATACAAAGTGATTGTGAGGATACAGAGTGATTGTGAGGTTACAGAGTGATTGTGAGTATATGGAGTGATTGTGAGGTTACAGAGTGAGGATACAGAGTGATTGTGAGGATACAGAGTGATTGTGAGGATACAGAGTGATTGTGAGGATACAGAATGATTGTGAGGTTACAGTGAGGATACAGAGTGATTGTGAGGTTACAGAATGATTGTGAGGATACAGAGTGATTGTGAGGTTACAGAGTGATTGTGAGGATACAGAGTGATTGTAAGGTTAAAGGGTGATTGTGAGGTTACAGACTGATTTTGAGATTACATAGGAATTGTTGGATTATGGGGTGATTGTTTAGTTACATAAAAATTGTGAGGTAACAGAGTAATCGTGAGAATACAGAGTGATCTTGAGGGTACCGAGTGATTGTGAGGATACAAAGTGATTGTGAGGATACAGAGTGATTGTAAGATAACAGAGTGATCATATGGATACAGAGTGATTGTGAGGTTACATAGTGATTATGGAGTTACAGAGTTATTTTGAGAATAAAGAGTGATTGTGAGATTACAGAGTGATTGTGAGGATACAAAGTAATTGTGAGGATACTGAGTGATTGTGATGTTACAGATTGATTGTAAGGTTACAGAGTGATTATGATGATACAGATTGATTGTGAGGTTACAGAGTGATACTCGTGAAGATACAGAGTAATTGTGATATAACAGGTGATTGTAAGGTTACAGAGTGATTGTGAGGATACAAAGTGAATGTGAGGTTATAGAGTGATTGTGAGGATACAAAGTGATTGTAAGGTTACAGTAATTGTGAGGTTACAGAGTGATTGTGATGTTACAGTGATGATGAGGATACAGAGTGATCCTGAGGATACAGAGTGATTGGAAAGATACAGAGTGATTGTAAAGCTACAAAGTGATTGTGAGGATACAGAGTGATTGTAAGGATATATATCAATTGTGACATTATAGAGTGGTTGTGAGGTAGCAGTATTTATGAGGATACAAAGTGATTGTGTAGTAACAGAGTGATTGTGAGGATACAGAGTGATTGTGAAGTTACTGAGTAATTGTGAGGATACATAGCAATTATGAGTATACATAGTGATTGTGAGGATACATAATGATTGTAAGGATACAGAATGATTTAGAGGTTACAATACAATTGTAAGGTTATATAGCGATTTAAGGTTACAGAGTGATTGTGAGATTACATATCAATTGTAAGGTAACAGAGTAATTGTGAGGTAACAGAGTGATGGTGAGGATATAGAGTGATTATGAGGGTACAGCTAGAGCGACTGTGATGTTACAGAGTAATTGTGAGGTTACAGTGTGATCGCATGGATACAGAGTGATAGTATGGTTACATAGAGATTGTGAGGTTAAATAGTGATTGTGAGGTTACATAGTGATTGTAAGGTTACAGTGTGATCGTGATGTTACAGAGTGATTGTGAGGTTACAGACCAATTGTAAGGTAACAGAGTGATTGTGAGATTACAGGGTGATTGTGAGGTTACAGAGTGATTGTGAGGATACATAGTGATCGTAAGGATACAGAATGATTGAGAGGTTACAGTGTGATTGTAAGGTTACATAGCGATTGTTAGGTTACAGAGTGATTGTGAGGTTACATATTGATGTAAGGTAACAGAGTAATTGTGAGGTAACAGAGTGATTGTGAGGATACAGAGTGATTGTGAGTATACAGAGTGATCGTGAGGATACAGAGTGATTGTAAGGTTACAGAGTGATTGTGAGGATACAGAGTGATTGTGAGGTAACGGTGTGATCGTGATGTTACAGAGTGATTTGTAAGGTAACAGAGTGATTGTGAGATTACAGAGTGATTTGTAAGGTAACAGAGTGATTGTGAGGTTACAGAGTGCTTGTGAGGTTACAGAGTGATTGTGAGGTTACGGAATGATTGTAAGGTTACAGAGCAATTTGTAAGGTAAGAGAGTGATTGTCAGGTTACAGAGCGATTGTGAGGTTACAGAGTGATTGTGAGGTTACAGAGTGATTGTGATGTTACACTGTGATTGTGATGTTACATAGTGATATTGTAAGGTTACAGAGTGGTTGTGAGCTTACAGAGTGATTGTGAGGTTACAGAGGGATTGTGATGTTACAGATTGAGCTTTATTGAGCCCCGAACAAGGCTAGATCAGCGAACTAATTTTGCAGCAAGCTATCGGCCTCCATTGTTGTTGTTATTTTGGTATGGTTTTGGTTTTCATTTCTTTTTCGTCTTTTGCTGATTAAGATGGGCCATGCCTTTATACGATCTTAGCAAAAAAGAAGAAAAAATCTACATATAAATGTTATATAGTCTATTTTTTCTGTATATTTAGAATATAATATTTACATTTTGCTGAGTTTTTATCAAACAAACAATGAAATTGATTTGAATGGCATATTCGTGTATACTATATACGTCATGGTGAGGCTACACTAGTAATGATAAATATTGGACGGCGAGAAATTTAAGCACCTGACTTGTGATTTACACACCAGTAATTCGCACAAAACTTAAAAACATTCCTTCAATATACATAATAACTGTGTTCCTCTTAGTAATAAAAGTTTATGGATATTGAATAAAAACATCGTTTCCTGACGCTCATTATAAAAAACAATAACAACAACAACAAATACACTATTCTCATTCACCCTTTGAATTTCCCGCTCTAAAAATTTGATTATCCGGGCTCTTCCTCTAAAACTGACGTGGCTTTGTTTTCGTTCAAGCCGGAAGTTGGAAGTTCAGATAAGAAGATCTACAGTTTTTTTTTTTACTTTTTACATAACAACATCGAAAGTGGTAAGATCATTATGCATTTAATTGTAAATAAGCCTTTATTAACATTTGTAAATAGAATTTGTATAAGAATATAATAGAATAACGGTGTCACCGAAGCTTGAAAAGTTGGTGTTTTTACTGGGGAAAATCAACATTGCATCACGCCTAGGGACATGTGCAGTGTTTATACGTGACATTGACTTGGTTTAATGATCAATCAGTAAGTTGACTGTGGCCATTGCCAGGCAAAAGCTGTTAATAAATTCAGAATTTGTCGAAGTCGGCACTAGGCAGCTGTCGGAGAGATTTCTAAATTCATTATGACACCTTAGCATGGTCTCTTAATTTATCAGTCTGTTTAAACACGTAATCTGCAGATTACAATCAAAACATGTTTACCTGATTTTTTTTACATTACTTATCGTATGTATCGATATATATATATTTTTCTTCAATGAATTAAAAGACGAAGTATTTATTCAAATGAAACATTCAAAATGCTCTCAGTCAAAGTACTAATTAACGTTCATTAAATGTTACTTTTCCCCCCTTAAAAAGCAGTCCTCAAATGATTTTATTTCATGAAACTTGTCACATGTATATAGGGAGTACAAAGCAAGTTTTAGAACTGTGTGCAAGTTTTCCCCCATATGCTTTTCTAAAAGTCAGATAGGCTTTTTTCTGGCTGTAGTAATTATCTATAATGAGGGGAGTACAGTATTGTTATTTGTGTCATCCGTGCAATGTTTATATGAAGTAAAGCAACATAACGTCATGAGGTAATATTGACACCACAACTGTAGCCAATCAAAAAAGATTTAGTCAGCAATACACACAACATTTACAATGCCATTATTGTCTCTATATTCATCGCTGAAATTGGTCTTGGTATAGTTTCTGGATTTTGATATAATTAGGAATTTGATTCTTCTTGTTAACTCTATAACTGACAAAAGGCAAGTAATCTTTAAAAAGATGTTTATTAAATAAACACTTCAAGAATATCCTATACATATGTATATGACATGCATGTTTATTATTGATCTTAGTTTACAGCCAGGGCTCTCAATAATAATATTTTGAAGTAAAGAGGTGACTTTTTTCCATTTGATATGTTTGGAAGGCTGCTCTTTTACTGCAAGATAAAAAATCAGAAAGTGTATAATAAAGCTATGTTAATTGATTCAGAAATTCTATAATGAATGAATTTGTAAAAAGAACATGTATGCAAATCAGGAAATCTTCAAAACATTTGGGTTCATTATGAACTGTTGTGAAAACTTTGTACAAGTAGCATTATGAATACTTAGACAAACTGAAACAACTAACTTGAGAAAAAATATACTGTGATTATATTTGATAAAAATTATACACATTTGACATTAATTTGTTATACCTCTAAAAATTTGTTCCTATGTAAATCAATACCAAAAAAAGTATAACATTTCTAATGTTTTACTGAACGGGCATAAAAAAATCGATATTTGACCATGGAGTGAGATATTGGACCTGTCGATGAGATGTTGAACCGCTTACGTCACATAATGGGCGGGGTCAGCTAAATCTCATTTGCATTTGTTGGTGTTCGACATACATGTATGTAAAAAAAATAATAATGATAAATAAATAAAAGGTAAACATTTATGGACTGTGTTCTCGGGCAAAATGCGTTTTGTCGACCCCTCGAACCAAACTGTTTGCCTTCGGCCGTTTGGTTCTTGGGTCAGACAAAACGCATGTTGCCCTCGAACCCAGTCAATAAATGTATATTGTTGGATTAATGACTTCAGTATTGTAATTGTAGAAGTCATGGCTGACGGCTTTGATCCCTGTGAGTGTGTGTGGAACCATGAACATGCCATGCAGAGACTTATTAACTTGGTAAGTTTATCATGTCACAAGTGTTACTTGCAGCATGTGCAACTATTAAATGTAGCAATATTTCTCATTTGGAGTTATGCAGTAAAACATGCATATGGCGAACACGCCTATAATGAATGACACTTAAAGTGAAGTGATGGCTTTAAAATATCTTGTGAACTTGACAGATATAACAAATTACATTGATAACAAAACAAAATCATCCGTCCCTGGCACTTCGCTGTAAGCATGTTGTACTGTTAATATTTGTATGAAGTGGTTCATAATCATATCTCCTAGGGCACTCATTCACAGCTTCATATACCAATAAGAATTCAGCATTTTTCAATTCTTTTAAGTGTCCAAACATCTTGATTCTGGAGCCTTACAAGTCCAACTCTACACAGTCGAACTCTTCAATTGTCAATTTCACCTTCTACTGTCAAGTAATCTTGAAAAATCTTTGAGGCACATTTTTATACTTTTCTTTATCTTGTGACTGAATCTTATTGTACCGTCAGTTGGGATGCAGATAAAACAAATCTGACATCATTTTTAAAAGGGTGGCCTCTCTAATTTCAAAAAGAAAACTTTATAGAAAATGTTTTTTGTAATAATGATTTCAAATATCGAAATGAATATGCAGTGTGTCAGCCATGTTAATTGCTGGATCTTAAATCTCACCTTCTGGACATAGAAATATAGCCAGCAGTTGTGTCCCATTTAAACCAGTCAAAACATGTCATTTCAATCTGAGGAAAAATAATGAACTCTGTATTGACTGCTGTATGCTGGTTGTATGTTATTTGATAATTTGTAGGTGTATGTATATCCTTGTGTTTTATCAGGTGTAGTAAAATTTCTCATACAGTGTAAAATAATCCAGATCTAGTGAAGCTTAGCTAGAAACGATGGTCGTGATCATCTACAAAAGTATTAAATAAACTTTATAACAAACATGACAAATGCATCTTTTTTTTTTTTAATTTAGTTACCGGGATATTGCTAATCATTTCAATTTTGTCTGACTTCTTTTATAGTGAGACTATTTGCAAGACATTATTTTTTGTTTGTCCTTTGTATAATTAGTGGCTTATAATTACATGTAATAGTAGATTTACTTCTTGATATTGCTGTCAACAAGTTTAAAATTTATTTTTGTGACAAGACAATTATGCATTTAAGCTCTCACAAATAAAATGTGATTTGGCACTGCTCCTATAAAACTGTCCAGGACCTGACAGAAACATCTAAGAAAACTAACTAGTTTACTTCAGTGTATTGAACACTCCAAAATCATTATCTTACTTTTCCTGTTTGTTCTAATTGCATGTTGTCAGAAAATGTGTCGACAACAATTAATACTGCCTCTTTAATCAATTATTTATTTCACTAGATGACAGCATTTAGGAAAGGGTATTTAATGTAACTTTGTAACAAAAAATAACAAAGATGATCAATACTCAATTGTGAAATATTCAGCACTCAGATAATGAACGTTCAAAACAAGTTGAAGTAGCATATAAAAGAAAAAAAAAGCAGATTGATTTTTTTTTTACCAATATTAAGCATTATAGATTATGGCAGTCACTCTGAAAAAAATAGTATTTCAATGCTTGACTTCAGTATTACATAGGATTTATAAATATAAACTATCATTGGAATTCAATCTTACTGATTGATTTCATCGGCTTATTATATGTGTATATATTTAAAATCATTTGTGGTTTAAATACCTTGAAGACCATTTTTTTCCTGGCTTCTTGTTCAATATCTTGCCTTGCTTAAGTAATTTTAAAACTTTAAATATGTATACATGTAATCACCTTCACCTTGATGTAAGGAGAAGGCTAAAAAAGGCTGTGCCTGCTGCTTTATCCCATTCAATTTTGAATAAAATGTCTAAATAAATTAAATAAGGATGTCCCTGCAGCCAAATCCCATTCAGTTTTGTGAATAAGTATTGTGTGAAAAAAAAAACAACATTTCTTTAACATTGGTCAGCACTCTGTTAGATTCTTAATTGATGTATATGATCACAGATCATTGCGTTGTCATAAAGTATGGAACAATTTAATACCCAATGGTTGTCTATGCCTGAGTTTTTAGCCTTACATAATAAACGATAATAATACCAGATCATGTCAGACTCAGATCACTTAATCAAAAATCATCAGATTTTTAAAAATTACAATCATACAACTATAATTTAGTGATATTTGATGATACAATATTTTAGCTAATCCTCGTGATTCTCAGAAATGGAGGGAGAAATCCAAGCTTCATTATAATAAAGAAAAAGAACTTTGTTCAGTGGAATTTAAATCATACACTGAAGTCAGATTTACCATTATGAATATTTTCTCATTGTTTGTTTTTGTATCTTTCAGTTGAGGAACACACAGTCCTACTGTACAGATAATGAATGTCTAACAGATCGTAAGTACTTAAGTTCTGAGTAATATATATTTCTAAACTCATTTCCATAGGAATGATTTTTTCCTACTTGTCTAACTCTGCGTGGGCTTTACGCTGTTACCATACCTATTTGTAGTACCTGGAGCTAACACGGCACCAGATGGTGGGTTCAGTTCTATGATGCTGATGATGCTGGGCTGGTTAGTGGTGGCCACATGTCTCTATCTTCTACGTCCCAACAGTCTACGAAATCAAGGAGATTCAAAACCAGCCAGAAACAATGTACGTCAATAAAGAAATACTCTCCCATCTCTTATGTAAAGGAATGAATGTTAAACTTTATGGAAGTTAAAGTCGTTACACTATCGTAGTTTTATTTTTGTGTATTTCAGGATCCCAGTCCACCTCCCCCTGGTCCCTCAGTAAGTTAAAGATGCATAGGTATAATGGGACTTTTGACATGGCTCACCCTAAGGACTCAGTCCAGGAAAAATGCCCTCATTTCTACTGTGTGTGTCTAAGGAGTGAATGCTGGCAGTATGACTGGACGTTACCTCATCATTTGTACACAAGGAATCTTGTGTCATCCATCCATCAATCTATAATGTGTGCAATCAGAACTATATAAACACGGCTTTGACATCAGTTCAGATCTTATAATATATGTTGGGATATTTATATGTAGGTCATTGCATTATTTCTTATTTGGTGAACTTGAGATATTTATAGATATTTGAACATATAGAAACACCAGTGTCAAGTTTGCTTCTGGTAAAGGAATTAAAAACATTTCAAAAATATGTGATAAATGTGCAAAATAATTGTAAATCCTTGTACACATTTATAGACTAATTTCATTTCAACTGATTAAGGGAAACGTGGAATGATGCTCAGAAGAAAACTTTAAAATACATGTATTTGTAATTGGTGCATTTAAATGTTACAATGTTTTGATCTTTCTTTTATTATAACTTGGTGTAGGATTTTTTTCTTACATTGTCTCATTATTGAAGTTGATTTAAAGCAATATGAGCTGCATTTTTGAAAATTTTATTTTGCTGTTAAAATGTGCTGTTTCAATAAATCTGTACATAACTTAAACCTTTATGATCAATTAGACTAAAAGTATCATATTGTTTCAAAAGAAAGATTTCTGTACAATGGAATGTATAGTATTATATAAGAAATCTATATTGTACAGGACGACAATAATGTAATTTTGCTTCAATCAAAGCTTAAAACTAGTTTTTCTATCGAAATTGTAAACAAAAGAAGGTTATAAACCTTTTTTTTGTCATTGAAATAGTTGATTACAATATTGCAACAATAATGTCCGATATCAACGTTGCAGCTCGTATTGCTTTAAGGAAATATACATATATCTGATCCTTCCTCTGATCCCTTGGCTATTCTGATATGTAACTTGCAGACCATTTTTTCGAGATCATACATTTCAGTGCTTAAATCTTTTGGTGTTGGTTTATGTTTTAACTCTATGCATCATTGGTGAATTCCTGAGACATCACTTGTTTTTGGTGGAGACTCACGATTCATTTATTGTTGAGTATCTTTAAAACCTGAATACTATGAAGTGTAATATTTCTTAATTGTTTTAATTAGAGTAAATATGTTAAATTTTGTTTTTACTCAATAATACATGTACATGTACAATGTTTATGTACTATTTTGTATTTAGATATGTTTAAGAATTTTTAATTTGTTAAATATAATTAATATTATTTATGTCTAGTTTTTGAAGTCTGATAGTAATATTCATTAATTTGAAAATTTTGTTTCACTGAGAAGACACAATCTACAAATTTTAATAACATAAAATTCGTATTTAAAAAAATATGGTTGTGGTTAATCTCAGATGCTAATTTGTTGAAATAATGAAATATTCACAAAATAAAGATGTTTTGTTATAGAAATTTTGTTTTCCTATTTATTTGGTACTTGTACTTTGTAAAGCAATACATTAAGATGAATGAAGATCAGAGATGGCTTAGGATGAGCGTACCTTGTAATTTCCAGGAAATGTTTGGAAATTTCTTGCTTTATAGCTCACTGAGCTAAATTTTGTACAAATTGTGGTCCCAGGGAGTAGTTTGGGCTATAAGAAGGGTTAAAGGCAAAAGTATTTCGTTTCCTTCTCGAGAACTTCAGTGCCATGATTATTCATATCCTGAAGTAGTGCAGACTGAAGTTTGTTCAAATCATTGTCCATGGAGGTAGGATTGGGGCCACAACAGAGGATTAAAGTTTTTATGGGAATATATTTATTATATATCCCCAGTAATAAGCAATAGACCATACAAAAATTCTTGTGCTCTAAAAGCCTGTGGCATTCTTTTTGTCCAAATTTTCAAGTCAATTAAGATACCTATTCTCATAACCTACCTTTGTCTCATTCAAGTATGAACTGTTCCTCCATTAAATGTTATCAAACAACAACTTTATAGTGTATTGGTGATCATGTTCAAATAAATGTTTCTGGGTCAAGATCATAAATTACTTATGTATTATAATGTTTCTCCAAGGTTAAAGACCACACAATAATTTCTCATTTCCAACTGTTGACACCTTGTCCTTTTCCAGATGACCTTAGATAGGGTCATGAAGCCCCTTTGGTCATAACCTACATTTTAGACAAATACAAGCATCTATCTTTCTAAATTACAAAGTAAGAATTCACATTTCCAATAACCCCAGGATCTTGTTCAACATGACCTTTAGTCAGGGTCATGACAAACCTTAAGATTTTTTTGCCTCCATGTTCTATAATTAAAAATCAATGTACAAAGTTTAAGACAGTTATGCAAATGGACAGACTTAAAACAATAGACCCCTATTGGTTTGAAAATGTCAATTAAAGTACAAATGAGAAAAAAAAAATGAAGCATTGAAGCAAATAAACAACTATTTATTTTTATATATGAATTAAATACATTCCACTTACATCAATACTTTTAACAACATTTTACCTCTGAGTGTATGCTTAAATTCATTAAATAATAGCCATGAATGTGGGGATTGACAGTGTTTGGATGCATTGAACTACTTCAGTTTTAATGGAACAACTCTTGTGGATGCATAACTTCAGTTTAACTGAACAACTCTTCAGTTTTAATGGAACAACTCATGTGGATGCATAACTTCAGTTTAACAGAACAACTCTTTGGTTTTAAGAAACAACTCTAAGACTTGTGGATGCATTACTTCAGTTAACAGAACAACATTTGTTGGGACATCACTTCAGTTTAACAGAACAACTCTTGTATTATTTCAGCTTCAGATCAAGTGTTTATGAGGCAGTGTTTTAAATGTAGCAAAGTTAATACAAGCTTGAGCTGTTTTTACCAACATTTTATGCACATATAAAGTATTTAATTATTTAAGAAGGCGAGAAAGTGTTGAAATGGACGAATTTCTGTATGAGCCTCCAAAATGATTCCTGAAAAACAAGAAGTAAATAAAAACATATGAAGAAGTTAAAAACAATTGCAATAAAAAAATATACTTGTGGGTAAAAGCTCATTTAAGTTTTATTTGAGAGGAAAATACTGCATGTAAATACAACATAATGGAATTATTAAGGTTGAAATGATCACTGTTTAAAAAAACTGTAAAAATATGAGCACATGCAGGAATCTGAAGTTTTTTGTTTTTTGTTGTTTTTTTTTTCACAATAAAAACTTCCGACTCCTGTGGTCAAACTGACATCTGATTGAAATAACATTGATCAGTGATTGAGACAAGAAAGAAATTTAACAGCTATTGCAATTATAAAACAAAATAGCCATGATAAAACTGATCAGTCAATTAAAAAAAAATAGCAGTGATTGAGAGAAAATGAACCTAAATGTACAATGATGATAAAACTGAGCAGTGACTGAGATAAAACTAACCAAAGTTTGAGATACAATTGACAAGTCATTGATATAAAACTGACCAGTGATTAGACAAGAGGCCCATGAGCCACAATGCTTACCTGAGTAACTTTGGCCCTGCTGTTCCACCAGATTTTCCCCATTCATTGTACTTATTGTGGCCCCACCCTACCCCCAGGGGTCATAATTTGAACAATTTAGAATCTACACTACCTCAGGAAGCTTCCATATAAAGAGAGAGAGCCACTTAGGGCCTTTTTTGGCCCTGAGAATTTCTGAAAAATCAAAACTACTCAGTTTTAGTTGAAAATGCAGTATTTATAACTTGGACCCTTGGTGACAGTGTATCTATTGAACATGACGTAATTTTCTCTCTAGTCAATGCATTATGACGTCATAAAATGCATCATTTTTCCCATATCCTGTAAATCCCTTAAAAATGGCCAAAAGTTGAGGTATTTTTTCAATATTACATATAGAGCACAACCTCTGATCCAAAATATGCAATTACATAATGAAATATCTGTTTCTGAAAATCACAAAACATGTTTTAATTTTTGGATCGTGGGCTGTTCTCATATTTTAATTCTCTGCTGAAGGTAGTCAAATACGCATGTTTTCTGCAAAATTCAAGAACATTGCATTTTCCCAAAGCTTGTTTTCCAATACCTGGATTCTCAAAAAGAAATTTTGTGATAGGAAATGAAAGCACTAAGGCTCTACTCTATTTTGATATATGAAATGGGATAGAGGTTAATAGTGGATTAATTGATAAAAGGATAGGGCCATATTATGCAAAAAGTGAACCTAGCTCTTTCAGCTTTTCTGGCCCAGTGGTTATTAGGAAGAAGGTTTTTGAAGATTTTTTCTATATACATGTATTTCAATGTATAACTTTGATTCGCTATTGTGGCCCCACCTTACCCCCGGGTATCATGATTTGAACAAGCATTCTGAGAGTATTGCATTAGCAATACTAGTCCCCTACCGGCAAGTGTAATCTGGTTCCCGTTAAAAATTGAAAATGCCATAATTCCGTCAAAAATCAATGAAGCGGAACGAAATGCAAACTTAATCTATAACTCATCAAGGTAAAATCACATACCAAAAATCAGCTCAATATCTCCAAGCGTTTAGAAAAAAAGTGCGGAAAACCAATTGGGACAGACTGACAGACAGACAGAGGGACAGCTAGACAGACAGACGGACGGACAGAATCAGAGGAAACCTATAGTCCCCTCCGGTTTCACTAGTAGGGGACTAATAATTTAGAAACTACACTACCTCAGGAAGCTTCCACATAAGTTTCAACTTTTCTGGCCCAGTGGTTCTTGAGAAGATTTTTTTATGATCCCACCCTATTTTTGTTTTTTCTTGATTATCTCCCCTTGGAAGAGGGTTTGGACCTTCATTTTCACAATTTAAAGTTCCCTTTATCCAAGGATGCTTTGTATCAAGTTTGCTTTAAATTGACTCAGTGGTTCTTGCGAAGAAGTTGGAAATGTGAAAAGTACACAGATGGACGGATGAGGGACAACGGGTGATCAGAAAAGCTCACTTGAGCTTTCAGCTCAGGTGAGCTAATAAAACTGATGAGTGATTGAGGTAAAATGATGAGTGATTGAGATAAAACTGACTAGTGATTGAGATAAAACTGACCAGTGATTGAGATAGTGGAAGAGTTTGTAGAGGTCTGTCCTTTTTCTGAATCCAGGGGATTGTGGTAAAAGCTTGTGGTAGTTGTCAAAAAAAGAAGAACTGAAGCCACCAAACATCTTAGCAATGGCTAAGTCAAACTCAGAATGACCATAAAAACTGGCAGGGTCAAATATTACTGTTAGAAAAAAAGAAATACTTAATTAAAAAGTAATCAACTTATGCATAATATACTGTACATAAATTGGCTTATTCAAAATTTAGCACAGTCACTGGATATTGGGTTTTTGGCATATTCATGAATTAGTGCTACACACTAACGCACCACATATTGTATTAATAAATGATTTCTTAGCAGTATTCATGAATTAGCGCATAGTTGTCCGTGCCAAAGCCGCTAAAATATGAAGCCCGCTTTTTTTAGTACACATACAGTATTACTGTAGCCTTTTTCACAAAAATTCTTTTGCATAGGATTTTATCTTAAGAATCTCTTACAAACAAGCATTCTGAGAGTATTGCATTAGCAATACTAGTCCCCTACTGGCAAGTGTAATCTGGTTCCCGTTAAGAATTGAAAATGCCATAATTCCGTCAAAAATTAATAAAGCGGGACGAAATGCAAACTTGATCTATAACTAATCAAGGTAAAGCTACATACCAAAAATCAGCTCAATATCTACAAGCGTTTAGAAGAAAATTGCGGAAAACCCTTAAAAATTGAAAAGGCCGTAATTCCGTCAAAAATCAATGAAGCGGAACGAAATGCAAACTTGATCTGTAACTCATCACGATACACTTACATACCAAAAATCAGCTCAATATCTGCAAGCGTTTAGGAAAAAAGTGCGGAAAACCAAGTGGGACAGACTGACAGACAGACAGAGGGACAGACAGACAGACGGACAGACAGACAGACAGACGGATGGACAGACGGACGGACAGACTCAGAGGAAACCTATAGTCCCCTCCGGTTTCACCGGTAGGGGACTAACAAGCATTCTGAGAGTATTGCATTAGCAATACTAGTCCCCTACCGGCAAGTGTAATCTGGTTCCTCTTTAAGAATTGAAAATGCCATAATTCTGTTAAAAATCAATGAAGCGGGACGAAATGCAAACTTGATCTATAACTAATCAAGGTAAAGTCATATACCAAAAATCAGATCAATATATGAAAGCATTTAGAAGAAAATTGCGGAAAACCCGTAAAAATTGAAAAGGCCGTAATTCCGTCAAAAATCAATGAAGTGGAACGAAATGCAAACTTGATCTGTAACTCATCAAGATACATTCACATACCAAAAATCAGCTCAATATCTGCAAGTGTTTAGGAAAAAAGTGCGGGAAAACCAAGTGGGACAGACTGACAGACAGACAGAGGGACAGACGGACAGACGGACGGACAGACTCAGAGGAAACCTATAGTCCCCTCCGGTTTCAGCGGTAGGGGACTAATAATCGTAAGTGCTTTTCATGAATGCATTCATCACTGACTGAACTTAAGATTTCACATACAAGAAAATTTTTCCTTAGCAACATTCTCACTATGCTTTATTAGTCCCCTACCGGTGAAACCGGAGGGGACTATAGGTTTCCTCTGAGTCTGTCCGTCCGTCTGTCTGTCCCTCTGTCTGTCTGTCAGTCTGTCCCACTTGGTTTTCTGCACTTTTTTTCTAAACGCTTGCAGATATTGAGCTGATTTTTGGTATGTAAGTGTATCTTGATGAGTTACAGATCAAGTTTGCATTTCGTTCCGCTTCATTGATTTTTGACGGAATTACGGCCTTTTCAATTTCTAAGGGTTTTCCGCGATTTTTTTCTAAACGCTTGCAGATATTGAGCTGATTTTTGGTATGTAAGTGTATCTTGATGAGTTACAGATCAAGTTTGCATTTCGTCCCGCTTCATTGATTTTTGACGGAATTATGGCATTTTCAATTTTTAACGGGAACCAGATTACACTTGCCGGTAGGGGACTAGTATTGCTAATGCAATACTCTCAGAATGCTTGTTACCCTAAAAAAAGAGATGACTACATGTATAATGAAAATGAATCAAAGTAGATTGTATTTCAAATCTAAAATGCAAAACAAAATTCAGTCACCACAAATTCTAATGCAATTGTTTTGTAAAACACATTTTGATTGGTTAATACACTGATGTTTGAGGCAGTAAAGCGAGCATTAAGGAGAATGAAAGCTTTTCATTGTGACGTCATAATAGGGCGATGCGAAAACACAATGCTCCATGATGTATTTTATGGAACAAAACTCAACAAAATAAGACATGTACATCAAACAAAATGCTTATATTGCATAAGAATGGGAATAATTATCTTCTAATTTGGTATCTGTGACCGTTAATGCTGATTTAACAGTCACAAACATCCATTTTACCAGCTCCGCTTACGCGTCGCCAGTAAAACTCAGTTTGCGACCGTTAAATCAGCATTAACTCTCTTATATACCAAATTAGAAGATAGTTATTCCCTAAGTGTAATCAATGTGAAGAAGGAAAGTATGGAAACTGACATCACAATCACATGCATAAAAGTAGGTCAAAAGAAAGTCTCAATTAATTATAGATATAAAGCAGTCATAGTGAAAAATGAGTAGGAATTTTCAAAAATTACTTTGAAATATTTAAAAAATACTTCTTTAGGTCATATCAAAATGTTCAATTTCACTTATTTTGGCTTTTATCTAAAATATTTTACATAATACACAGTTTTGAAATACACTTCGGTATCTCGAACACTGGTATCTCAAATACCATGGATATGTCAAAGTGATTTGGAAGTCCCAACTACTTATTCTTTAAGTATTTTAACCTCAAATTCTCGGATACCTCAAAGTTTTTTCTCAGTCCCATCAAGTTCGAGATAACGAGGTTTGACTGTACTGTAAAGAGGGTTACGACTCTTGAAGTTAATAAACATAAGAATTTTTGTGAAAAGGAACAAAATCCTAAGTTTTCATTTTATGTAATTAATCGAATGATTTTTTGTAAAAAAAAAAAAAAGGCTACTGATTCTTGTATTGATACCGAAGCCAATGTGATCGTCTCGCAAAAATGACACCATTTCATAAACTGGATATAAACCCAAATCAGTGTGTATCCTACCTGGGCCATTTTTGTTTTCACCAACATTTCCGCCCCATAAATCTCCATGCATGAGTGCTGGCAGGATGTTGTCCACTTTGTCAAAAAATGTGGGAAGCTTCAGCTGGAGTTCTGACCATAATTCTCTTGCTTCTCTGTCATGATACTAAAAATACATCAAAGTTTAAAGATTAAAGAACCAAACTACATAAATGACTCACCTCAGGGATTATTACCTCGACATGGGGAAGGGCTTGTATGTCAATGACCCAGAGAGCTATGCTGGTGGGAGCATAAGCTTCTGGTAGGGCCACCCTTGCCAGACAGGTCATTGGGTAGAGACCAGACAGATCCACTGATCCTCCAGGTTGGGGGTTGGGCACAGGACTAACAACCCTATCCAAGAACAAACTATGTTACAGACACAGCAACAGACAAAATTAATACTTCAGCTTCAGTGGACCTTCTGAGTCAAGTAAGACTTTTATGAATTACCAGGAGGATAGGGGAGGACCTGAACACCATCAAAATCAAGATCAGACTAAGACACTGAAATGTAAGAATGATGTGGAGGTTCAAACTTCATGTCTTAGGGTGAGTGAGAATAGATGGAATGGATCTGGAAGAATGAGAACACCACCAGTGAAAACTTTCTCTTCTCTGGCAGAGATGAAGACCATCACCATGAGGGAGTTGCAATCATCCTTTAGAAAGGCTTGGAGGGACGTCTGCAAGAGTGGAAGTCCATAACCGGCGGACTGATGAGTTCAAAAATAAAGGACGGCCCACCAACATCACCATCATCCAGTGCTATTCAATGACAATAGCAAAGAGGTGAAGACAACTTCTACAACCAGCTAGAGACAGAGACTGAGAATTCAGAGAAAGCACCATGAATTGATCTCATTATCAACAGGAGGG